TATCCAGGAGAAAACACAAACATTACAGAAAGAATCTATAAGGCGCTCTAAGAGCGGTGCCTGTGCGAAAGTAGCGATTCACATTGGATTTGAATCGCTGAAGATTAAATCCATTTGAAAAAACGTTCTCAGAAAGTTTATTCCACAAAAACGCAGTTCTTCAAATGAAAGAGTTCTTGAACAGTGAAGTTCGAAGTCTAATGAGTTGAACCTCAAAAAGATGAGAGGCCACAGTCCGTTGCGTATTTCTGATATGTATACCTCTCTTGGTGGAATCAAATGTGTTACTGGACCACTTCCCGCGAAAGTATCTATAGAAGAGAGGCAAATCCCGAACCTTTTTCCGACGTTCCAGACTATCAAGGTCACAAGTGATGTTCGCGTCCCCAAACAGGCAGATGACTCTTTTCTGGCTAGAATCCAGCAGCTTCAGGGTATGCTTAGGGGCGGAGCTCCATACATTAGAAGAATACTCCAAAGAAAGTCTGATATGAGTTTTATGAAGCATCAAAAATTGCTGAGTATCGCTCAAATATGTTGCAAAAGTGCTATAAGAGAAATTTTTAAAAAACCACTTTTTATTCATTTCAGTTTATGTATTTTAAAGCTTGCAATATCAACAAAACATATTGATAGGTTGTAAAAACTCATATCTTTCAAGAATAAGATAAGATAAGATAATATAAGATAAGATGAGATAATATAAGATAAGATAAGATAAGACAAGATAAGATAATTTTTGCACGTGTTCTGACAATTCTGACCGCGTGATGTTGTTGAGTACCGAAGTCCTATGTGTCTCCTGTAATTTTTTTTGCAGGACTATGAATTTTATTTGATTTTTGTATGCAGGTTTCACTTGTATTGATGAAATTATTGTTTCACGAAAGCAAAGTGTTTTCGAAAATTGTAAAGTCCACTTGGTCTATCGACAATATCGTTTGTTATTTGTCACACCATCAGTATGAACACATTCTCAAAATTCACTCTCCCGATTTGTTTTTACGTTCACTCAGTACTTTGCGGAAGAGGAATATTTGCAGTTAGGATTTACTACCGTAATGCAAGGTTGCAGTGTAATCCTCTCTGTTCTGAAATACATTTCACCGTCTACTTCGTGAATTAAGTATTTCTGTAGTAGGGTAAACAGTGTACAAATTATTTAAACTGTGATTGTTTGGAATATTCATTAGAATAGTATATTTGCACCTTTTGTTGAGTATAAAATGTTCTATTGATGTTCAAAAAATGAACTGAAAATTGGAATATCAATATCTATCACTGAAATGAAGATCAGTGTTTTATTTTCAGTGTTTTTAACAAATTTTGAGTCGGGGAACAAAATAAATTTTAATTTTTTGAAATGGTGCGGCATTCTAAATTTTTTCATCATCACATTTCACCAACAACTCTAATCAGATTTTGACCAATATTTTTCATGACTATGACAAAATATTTGAGAAACTTGTTCCGGACGAAAATTTACCTAGAAAGTGATTATACAGGGTGTCCCTGGACTTCCTCTTTTCCTCTCGGGAATGTATAGAAGGGGTCAAAATATCACCAGTACTTCATATAACTTTTTTTCCTAAAAGTCTTCTTAACCAAGTTACGGGCCCTCGAAGTTACAAAATGAAAAATGTTTTTCTTTGATAACTTTTCAAG